TATTATATTAGCGCATCTTTATCAGTTTATTCGTCACACAATAAATGACAAATTTTCGGTCGCAGCTGATCATGCTGACACCAACGTCGACACCGGAATTTCTCTAAAACGATCTCTTTAACGCTGTCGCGTTAAAAAAAATGATTTCGCAGAAGTACGACTGGACTTACCGGGACTTGTAACGTGTGAGCGTGTTTTATTTTATTCTGTCTCAACGAGCAACCTGCATACCACACTAGCATATACGGAACGGGGGAGAAAAGCTTCATCAGCACTCGTGATGAACCTGAGTACGCTTTATTGCCGGATTGTCCCTGAAGCCTGTGTCCCGGTGAAATCAGAATATTGCATGCTGTCTCACTGTGCCTTCTCATTGCGTTTGCCTGTGAAGCGTGCTCTGCGGAAAATGCAGTTGCCAACGGAAAAAAGCCTCCACACAAAGACACAACCGTCTCATTGCTTGTTTGACCTCTTTATTATTGTCTAACAAAAAACTAACCCTAAATTTTGCAGTTAAAAAAAACAAACCCTAAATTTTGCAGATACACGAGCTGAGAGAGTGTTGACTCGATGTACGCTTGAACTGTTGCGAGCTGGTGGAGAGGGTGAAGTGAGACAGAGGTGAGATAGAGAGGGACGTCAAGGCGCACTGCGAGGAAGGCTATGACCTACTAGGCACCGCCCCTACACTTGCGGTGAGGGGACCGCGGTGCGGCGCGTTTGCGCGAACAGAATGCGTTACACATGCTAGTCAAAGAGCTGCTTCACATCTAAAAAAAAGGCTACGAGGACGCACGCGGCGTCACAAGCGCATTGGCAGTGGCTTTTCAAAGGAACACCATGTGCGAACTGGTAGGTGTTCTGTGCCTCAGCGCCGCCCCAGAATCAATAGTTCAACAACGTAGAAACTGTCAGCGTGTTGTCGCACTATCTATTTTTCAGCTGAAGGTCGCACCTCTCACAGGCGTGTCTGTGGGGGCTTGTTTTCTTTGAGGCAAGTGATTTCGTTCAACCTGGTGCATAAAAATTTTCCCCATCAATGCAACAAGGGCGTCCATGCAGGCGGCATCCTCAAATCACTCTTTTTGCCTGTACCGATTAAAGCTGTTGAATAAATTGAGAATTTACTGTTATTTGCGGAACATGTCCAAATGTTTTCCTGCAGTAACAAACGAGCAGATGTGTTGTCTGCATGAGCGAGTAAAACATTGTCATTTTTCGCCGGGAACGTTACCCCGGGTTCTCGATTCATGGCGGCAGTGTGGCTGTGAGGGGTTCGTCGTGAGCGCGGTGAAACTGAACGCGAGGCATCATAGCCACGTGATGGAAGAAACTTAGTTATACGTGCCAGGGCGTATCGCCTGGGCGATTAAAGCTCACAGCCGAATCGTGTTTCGCCGGCGTTGCGGCGCGATCACTGCAACTCAGCTGCGGTGGGTGGACCGGGTTTTCAAGCAAGGAAGTTTTTTCTAACTCTGTCACCAATTGGAATGATTTGTCTGTGAATCTAACGATTTGTGGAACTGTTCAATCGTTCTTGCCAAAACTTAAGCAACTGTGAATCACTGACTTTTCTTTTTCGCTTATGCTTCACCTTCTTTTATGCCGCCTTGTATGCGTAACATAGCACGTGCGCCGCAAACCACTCGATGGTGCGCGTTTTAGTCTTTTTTTATTTATACCTAACATAATTGCATGGCAACGAATGCATTTATGCATGCCATCAACTTGTGCGCATGTTTCTGACCTTTCCAAGTTTATATGATGTTTGCTTTTCAAATGATATGCAGTCAACAAAAGTGTAACGACAGGTGTTTGTCGTCATTGATTTTTTTAAATTCTCTTATTTATGCCCCACTGTAGTAGTCTAGTGGCTAAGGTGCTCGACTGCTGACCCATAGGTCACGGGATCGAATCCCGGCTGTGGCAGCTGCATTTTCGATGGAGGCGAAAACGCTGTAGGCCCGTGTGCTCAGATTTCAGTGCACGTTAAAGAACCCCAGATGGTCAAAATTTCCGGAGCCCTCCACTGCGGCGTCTCTCATAATCATATGGTGGTTTTGGGACGTTAAACCCCACATATCAATCAATCAATATTTTATCATATTTTTATCTGAGTGTACATGGAAAACTTGTGCACTGATGGCTACTGGCGTTTCCGTTTGATCTGTCGATTCTCGATGGTGAAGCCTACGTGATATTGATTTTGTTGTATTTCCACATCATTCCCTTTTATGTATCACTCACCCGCCCACTCATGCTCAAGGCCTCGTATGAAGAGCCGGCGGCAGTACTACTAAATTATTGAATAAATAACTGGCTCAACCCAACGTCTATAGAAGATAAACAGATAGTGAAAGAGAAAAGGGGAGCTCCGTGCTTCGTCCCCCGTCACCCATACTTCCTGACAGGAGCAAATAAAGTTGTTTCTCTCTCTCTCTTTCCCTCACAAGCGACTATTTGAATTTCAGGCTTTCACGGTGAGGCACATGAGTAAAGCCGTCTTTACTGTTGGCCAGCGCAGTTACCAAAGGGAAATTTGAAGAGTTCGGCTTCTGGCCTTCGAAATCACCGAGGTTCCTTTGGGGCCACCCCACTGGACTGCAAAGTTGGAGGATGCGTGTTCGACTCTCGGCCACAGTGTCGAAATGAAAAGGCACTTCTGCGCTCCGGTTCAGGTATACACCTCTGAATACCCTAGCGGCCTTCTTCGATCGACGGGCAGCAAACCGGATAGCTTGTGACCACAAGAGAGGAAAATAAAGATGGCGTTTGGCTATGACACACGAAGCCATTACACGCCTTTTTGACTGCCAATATTTCTGGGTCACACATATTTTTTTCGATCTTTTTGCATACCACTACAAGCCAAAAGGGGTGAGCGGTAAAGGGAAACCACAGCGAAAAAAAAAAATTTTCTTCTTTATGTTATTGGTAAAGCGCTCATTCTTATAAAAAAATCATCACGATTGCTTTGAGTATAGATGCTGCCCCGCCGTAGTGGTCTAGTGGCTAAAGTACTCGGCTGCTGACCCGCAGGTCGCGGGATCGAATCCCAGCAGCGGCGGCTGCATTTTCGATGGAGGCGAAAATGCTGTAGGCCCGTGTGCTCAGATTTCGGTGCACGTTAAAGAACCCCAGGTGGTCAAAATTTCCGGAGCCCTCCACTACGGTGATTGATTGATATGTGGGGTTTAACGTCCCAAACCACTATATGATTATGAGAGATGCCGTAGTGGAGGGCTCCAGAAATTTAGACCACGTGGGGTTCTTTAACGTGCACCCAAATCTGAGCACACGGGCCTACAACATTTCCGCCCCCATCGGAAATGCAGCCGCCGCAGCCGGGATTTGAACCCGCGACGTGCGGGTCATCCACTACGGTGTCTCTCATAATCATATAGTGGTTTTGGGACTTAACCCCCACATACAATCTATCAATTTGAGTAGACGCTTACTAAACGACGAAACGCATGAAAAGGAAATTAAAGATCCTACACCATTCGCCATGACGTATTAAATACATTTTGATGGCCTCTGTTAGGGGCAGCGTAGTTCCTAGTCAGTAAAAATTACGGGCCATCTTCGTCAAATGAAACCCGTACAGCGGCAAGCCTTCGTGATAGCATAACGTGCGCCTTCCGCTTATCACCATGGGCAGTCACGCATGTATGCGCAGAGCTCCCGAACATGGTGCACTGGACTGTCAATCGTGGTAAGTGGACGGCACGTACTATACCATGACGTACTATACCATGGCTTGCCGCTGTACTGGTTTCACTTGACGCCGATTGTACGTTGTCCTCTGAGAAGGGCAGGGGCTTTGAAAAAAAAAAAATTCACTGAATTGTCGTGTGCCAGTGTTGCAAAAATGCAAGAAATTTGTTTTGCAATTCATGACGTAACGTGTGAAAACTACAACGTGAAATCCAAAAATTGAACTTCCATTTTCTCGTCTATTATGATGCCTATGATCAACAACATTAGTCTTTTCAGAGTGTATCACTTATCATGCTATATAAGCCGATTCGTTGCTTCAAATCTTGCTCCTTTTAATCTAGGTCTCTTTACTAACGCGTGTTTGGGCCTATAATGATCATGCTGTGCTTGTGACACGTCTAGCAATTAGTAATATCCCATCTTATCTCTGGTCATTTAGCGTATAAGTCACACACGGCGGCTGCGAACAAAGCAAAAAGCGAGCATAAATGACTGCATGACACCCAATTTTCGGCCACAATCTGTGTTATGCGGGTCAATTCTTGAGCATTCATAAATGAGCTAGCGATATTTTACCGTTTTTCGTCAAGCGCTTCAATTATAATGCAATATTATTAGCACGCACGCGGCAGAACACGTAGCAACACTGGCGCATTAACGAACTGCGACGGGCCGAAGAGCTCGCTTCGCGAGCGTCTGCATTCCGGCGAAGGATATTGTTCCGGGGTCAGCCGCACGTGGAATCGAAATAACTTAGCTCTCTGTAGTTCTGCACTGAAAGTGAACAACTTACCGCGACTTGAACCTCTGTATAAGATGACGACTCCACCCTTTCCAGCACATGAAGTTACACATGCCATGGCGAAATGGCGGTGACCGGGGCACGTGACCGGCAACTTCTAGGGCTTATTTTGCACTGAAATATTTCTTTATGGCCTATATTTCATATCTGCATAAACGGAATAGGTTTCCTACTTCTAGTATTAGTTGACCGGGTCATAAGCCCTTTAAAACAACAAGCGGCAGCCTATGGTAAGGATTACGAAACGAGGGAAACGACGTTTACCTTTTTTTTATTCTAAGAATGCGTTTCAATGGACAGCATTACCCTAAACATGATTCGTGTTCACCAGTGGTGAAAGGCGTGCAACGCGGTGCGGGTGTGAAGTGGTTACAGGGAAAGGGGAGGGGGGGGGGCGATGGTGTCGAGGAATTCGAGAACAGTCCATGTCAGCATGCACGCACGCACCTCGCGATATGTCTTCTCGAAGCAGGCACACCTACTTCCCGGGTGGCCGTTTCATGTACGTCATCCAAGTGCCGACGCGCGCCATAACGTGCTGCCACAGCCGGACCATCCGATGATGTCGAGCGAGCAATTCGGCTCTAAGCGTGGCACAACGCCTCTCGAGCGCATCCACTTGCGCTTGCAGTCGCGCGGTGCGGTCCAGCCGTCGCTGGTGTAACATGGCTTGCACAATGCGGTTCTTCCTCCTCCTCTCTTCGAGCTTGGACTCCTCTGGGTCGCTTACATCAGCGGGCGGCGGAGGCTGCAGAATGCGGACTTGTGCGCTGTGGCTCTCGTGCAAGCTGTCCGTGTCGAGGGTCGCGGTGCGCTTCCTCGGGTTCGGCTCGTCGCACCTCGACCGCGGCTGCTGTAACTGCGGTGGCCGATCCGCGGTCACACGTACGCTGCCTTCACCGATACTGTTCACGTCGGAGTCTACGGACCGTGGCGAAGATCCCACCGGAGGCACCCTGCCCACCATCGCCGAGTGGTTGGACGAGGAAAGCGGGACGAGGCTTGCGCTCGAATTGTCCGAGTCCTGCATGTTCGGTTCTGATGTGACCTGCTCCTGAAGCGATGGTTTTTATTTCGCTTCGGATAGATGAGCGAGCACTAAAACGTGAACGCATAAAAAAAAAGCACAGATAGAGCGCTCATTCGCTGGTCATTGTTTTTTTCGTTTCCTAAGTTCGAAGGGGATTTGCGGCCACACGCAGCATGTGCTAAGTTGTGCACTTTTCTATCATAGGTTGACTCGTGCTTGCCGCTGTACGCTGCCTGGCCGTCCGTCATCAACTTCTTCCGCGCATCTGCATGACGTAAAGAACCTGCTGACTGCGGAGATAACCTCACGGAGTCTGCGCCTGCGCCATCAGAAACAGTGCCACCTACGCCTATAAAAGCATCGCCTCAACGGGAATTCATCGGGATTTGCGGCCACACGCAGCATGTGCTAAGTTGTGCACTTTTCTATCATAGGTTGACTCGTGCTTGCCGCTGTACGCTGCCTGGCCGTCCGTCATCAACTTCTTCCGCGCATCTGCATGACGTAAAGAACCTGCTGACTGCGGAGATAACCTCACGGAGTCTGCGCCTGCGCCATCAGAAACAGTGCCACCTACGCCTATAAAAGCATCGCCTCAACGGGAATTCATCGGGATTTGCGGCCACACGCAGCATGTGCTAAGTTGTGCACTTTTCTATCATAGGTAGGAATTTTGTGCTTGTTATTGTGACTTAGCTAAGTGCAATTGTTTGTGGCTGCTTATCCCCCTTCCTGTACTTTGATTGTTGTTCAAATGGGTGTTGATCTGTGCACTCACCGGGCACGCATTGGTCTGTTCTCTGTGCGCCATAAGCCCCGGTACAGCAGTGTCGTTCCCTTCAGTGACAGTTCGCACTTCATCCTCGCTCTTTGCCCTAGACCTTCGCTAGGATTACTATCAGTATGCTTCGCCTTGCTACTGCTCCAAGCGGGAGACGTTGAAACCAATCCAGGTCCCAAGATTGACGACGTCCTAGTCTTCCTTAGGGAGTTTCGTGAAGAAGTCGCGACAGACATAAACGATGTGAAAGAACAAGTTGCTAATCTAAACACCCGGATCACCGCTATTGAAAGCAAAATTAGTAGTGTACAAGAAATACAGGATCACTTTGACGCAGTCAGGACATCCGTTCATGAAGTTAAGGCTAACATAAGAAAAACTAATGATGAGCTCATTGATGTCGTAGACGATATCAGTAACAGAATGAGGCGTAACAACCTAATAATTAAAGGCATACCTGAAAATGGTCAGGAGGGATATGCCGAATCCGAAGCCATCGTGAAAGATTTCTGTTCTACCCACTTGAAGCTTAACGTTGGCGACATCGAACGCGCTCATCGTATTGGTCAGCGCCGTCCTGGCTTTCATAGGCCTATCATCATTAAGTTCCTCAATTTCAAAACCAAAACAGAAGTTTTACGGAACGCCCCCAAACTGAAAAACCTCGATTTCCCGAAGGTATGGATAGAAGAAGATTTTTCTCCCAAAGTTCAGTTGGCTCGCAGAAAATTGCGTGAATATGCCAGGAGTAATCGTGAAGGAACAGAACCATTTTCTATACGTTATAACTCTCTGCACTTGAAAGGCTCCATCTACCGATATGACCCTGTCAAAGATAACATCGTAGAAGTTCCTACACGCAACCAGTCATCGCGTACTTGACAAAAACTTGCAGAAAAATCCAAAGCTGTATCTTCAAATACTGTCTCGTTACTTTTGGCCAACTTCCGCAGCCTGTATCACAAACTAGACAGTTTAAAGGCACTGATGCATACTTGCTCTGCTGATGTTATAATTGGTACTGAAACCTGGCTATCCAGCGACGTCGCGGACAGTGAACTAGCTCTGCACCCGTCTTTTAAGATATTTCGCAAAGACAGGGAAAATTCTCGAGGAGGCGGAGTTATCATTGCTATCAGAGGAGATTATAATCCATCACTTTTGATTGTCGATACTCCCCTAGAACTAGTTGCGATTACCGCGCGTATTGGTCATGCGCAGTGTGTGATTGTTGCATGCTATCGCCCGCCTGACAATCGGTCAGACTTTGTACACTTATTTAATACCGCCATTGAACATATTTTTTCTCAATATCCGAAATGCATTTTGATAGTAGGGGGAGACTTTAACTACCCTTATATCGACTGGTCAAACTCTTCTCTGAAAGAAAACAGCAATAGATCCGAATGTGTTAATTTCTTGCATACTCTGCATTTTCATCATTTATCTCAAGTTGTACAAAAACCAACACGAGGCAATCATATCTTAGACTTAATCTTGACAAATCATCCTGAATTCAGTGAAGTCCGAGTGCTTGATCCAATAAGTGACCATAATGTCGTACACTGCTCGTTTGCACTGAAATCCACCGTACAAAAGAAAATGAAGAAGTGTATTCTCAGTTACGCTCGCGCTAATACTGAAAAAATGATGGCCATTTTAGCACCATTTGCCGCAGACTTTTCAAATGAATTCCAAAATAGATCTGCAAATGACAATTGGTGTTTGTTTCGAGACAGACTGAAGGAAGTTGAAGCTAACTGTATACCTAAGATAACCATCACCTCAAGGCCGAACGACCCCTGGTTTAACCACGATGTAAAAAAATGCATAAACAAGAAAAAAAGAGCTTTCAGAAAGTTTTCTCGGACAAAGACTCAAGCAGACTGGGAAAACTACAAGAACATATCACGTCTTACAGAAACAGCTATTGCTAACGCCAAAAACGAATTCTTCAACTCTATCCTTCCAAATATGCTGAAAACTGACCCAAAAAAGTTTTGGCAAGTTGTAAACCCCAAACATAATCATGCAGCTCCCTTACTTACTGAAAATGGCGTGACTTTGAGCATTATAGATAGCGCAAACAAGTTTCGTAAATGTTTTTCCGACGTTTTTACTAGGGAACACGCACTTCATGATGCTCATATATCTCATCAACCGCTCATCCAGTACCCTTTCTTGCCCATCGTAATATCACAAAATGGCATATCTCGTGCCATTGACAGGCTCCCTAATAAAACCAGCCCCGGTCCGGATGGTATAAGCGCCAAACTTCTAAAATTTACGTCCCATTACTCGTCTTTATTGCTATCTTTAATATTTCAACAATCGCTGGATACAGGATGCGTACCAGAAGATTGGAAATCTGCCTTAGTGATTCCAGTTTTTAAATCAGGTGACTCCACAGATCCCACCAACTACAGACCAATTTCTCTAACATGCATCTCCTGCAAACTGCTTGAGCATGTTTTGTATACCCACATTATAACTTACCTCAACCAAAACAACTTGCTTCTTGACAACCAACATGGATTCCGTCAACATCGCTCATGTCAAACTCAACTGTTCGAACTCGTCACAGATATTCACACTTCAATACACAATCAACTTTACATAGACGCCATCTTCATTGACTTTTCTAAAGCATTTGATCGCGTGCCTCACAATCGCCTCAAACTTAAAATCAGAAATTTACAACTTGATTACAACTGTACGCGATGGATTGAAGAATTCCTTAGTAATAGATTTCAGGTAATCAGTTTGCAAGATTGCTTTTCTACCCGTGCTGACGTCATCTCGGGAGTTCCCCAAGGCTCCGTCCTTGGCCCATTATTATTTTTGATATACATAAATGACATAGCCGTTAATCTCGCATCTCAAATACGCCTTTTCGCAGACGATTGCGTCATTTACAAACCCATAACCAGCAACAGTGACGTCATTTCTCTACAATTAGACCTAAATAGGCTAACAGAATGGTGCAACATATGGCAAATGGAAATCAATATTTCAAAGACTAAACACGTGCAATTCGCTTCAACTATTCGCCAGAACGCTAATCAATATAAAATACGTGGTGCTAACATTGGCTCAGTATCCTCGATTAAATACCTTGGTGTACTTTTTACGTCAAACTTAAACTGGAATGCGCACATTGAACACGTCACCTCCAAAGCATGCAAAAACTAGGATACCTTAAACGACGCCTACATGTCGCAAACACTGATACGAGGCTTCGTGCGTATATCTCACTCATAAGGCCTTCTTTGGAATATGCCTCTATAATTTGGCACCCTCATCACGCTTACTTGTCCAATCTACTCGAATCAGTTCAAAATAAAGCAGCCCGATTTATCATGTCTTCATATTCTCACTACGTAAGTGTATCTGCCTTGAAGAAAAGGCTAAATCTTGTCAGTCTTGGCTCACGCAGAAAATTTGCACGTCTGGTGTTTTTTCATAATCTTCATCATGGAAACTCCACATTTGCTCGAGCTAACCTTCTGCCTGCTCCCAATGTATCTACTCGGCGAGACCATGTTCATAAAATAAAACCAATATTTGCACGAACGAACTTGTATCAAAATTCGCCGCTAGTGTTATCAATTACAGAATGGAATTCCTTGCCCTCATCTCTAGTGTCGCTTACAGAATCAACTCTATTTCAAGCTGCCCTAACAGTGTTTTTCGATGGAAACCCTCCTTAGCCCAATATATTCGCATATCTTGTGAACTTGTCACTACTGTTGTATTTGCCTTGTGTATTTTTGTCCCAAACTTTCTCGTTACCGCTTCGCATTGTGCTCTATTTTTATAATGTCACCTAAAGTATTTCATGGTTTTTGTGTGCATTTTTTACCATTATATGTACACACCTCGTTTTTGTAAACTCACTTGCATCCCCCCCTATGTAATGCCCTCTTTGGGCCCTTAGGGTATTTGTATAAATAAATAAATAAACCACGTTGTAGAAGCACTCGTTTGTTATAGCCCACTTTTCTGTTCGTAACAGCATTGCTGAATCGTCATTCGCCCTCACGAGATTACTTCTTCGTCTGTCTCCGCAGCGCATCACAACGTGGATCGTCAGTGCTGTTTATTTATCTTAAGGAAGATATAGCTTTCGGGTATCGGTAACGCTCTCGGCAATCTCAGCCGACTATCGGAAATATTGTCACGGGGACGGGACGCCGACAAAGACAGTTGTCGATTTCTT